GGCTGCCAGGGGGCGCCCAGGATCAACACAGGAGCCTCTTCAGACAGGCAGAACCCCTTTCCCCACAGGCCGGAAACCCTAGCACCCCAGAACTCCGCCCCACTGCCTCACCAAATGTTCAGCAATTAATCAGAATCTGGAAGCTGAGCAAAATGTCTCGCCCTCAGCACTCAGCATGAGTTACATCCTCGGAGGGGGAGGCCTGGGCCTAGTTGTTCCCTCGCCCCTCTCCCGCTGCTCCCGCCTCCCTTCCTCCTTTCCCCGCTCAATACCCCAACCTTGCCAGCAGGCAGGAAGGAAGCTGCTCATAGTGCAAGGGTGGGGTACTTCCAGCTCACACTGAACAGCCCGGCTGGGCTGTTATAAAGAGTCAGGACTTCCGCCCAGTCACTCCTGCCCTCACCCCCCAGGCCCCCATGCACACACCCCAGGCCCAAGGCCTTCCCTTCCCAGCACAGCCCTCCAAGGTCAAGGCGTCCCCCGCCCAGCCCTACACAGCACTCTGGTCTTGAGAGGGAAGAGAGCTAGGATTTTGCTTCTCGCCTTCGGCGCTAGGAGGGGGGGCAGGGGGCAGGGCACAGCCTCCCCCAGGGAGGGGTCTCACCCACAGAAGGCTGTCACCTTATCCCTGGGTGCCTGGGCCGTCCCTCCCGAGGCAGGAGACAGCCACTGTCAGGGACAAGGCTCAGTTCCCAACCAAATCATCTCCAAAGCCCGCTCAGCTTCAGATCTCATGATTTAAGATGGAAATTCTTTCAGCCAAACACAAAACCTCCAACCTTGAAAACTTTTTTCGGAAAGTACTCTTTAAAACATGGTTACCAACATGAGCAATCAAAGCCACCAAGATGCATCGCATCATTCCTGGCAGTGGGCTGCAGGCATAGAGCAGGCCAGCACTCAGGCAGAGTTCACAGGCAGGCCCCTCCTACAGGGCGGGAATCAGCTGTTCTCATCAGAGCACCTTGGCAGGGAAAGCAGGACACCTAGGACAACACTGGCGACGGCCCAAGAAAGGGGAAGCAGAGAATCCCCTGTCCAGAGAGCACATCTACCTCTGACTTTTCCTGTCTGTCTGACTTTTTCTTCCTCCTTTTCTTAAGACCCTGCCATGGCATCCTCCACCCCAATTCAAACCCAATCCAGGCCTACTCTGACCTCACAGCTTTCAGCTGACCGCACTGGAACTGACCCCATCCTCCTGTGACCTCAGCCTTCAGTGCTGGCTGTACTGAACTGTAAACCCATCCTCCCTGTGGCCACAGAGTGCTCCTTCTTGGACCCCTCCTCTCACTCCAGATTGACCTCTTTCTGCCCACCCAGACCCATCTAGCCTTAGCCAATTCCCTTCTCAGTGGCCCCTCTCCATTCAAAACAAGCCAATGTATGAAGCCAATCCTGCCCAGTGCAGGAGCTCAACCCAGCGGAGGATCCCCACAGAGGGGAACTGGCCTGTGTCTTCCAGAGCACACAGGTTCATTTAAGTGAGAACCCGCACCCACAGACCAAGCTGCCCAGAAATCACAACCAGGAGAACCCAGAGAAAGAGCTGTCCCCAGGGCCTTGGTGGACAGGGGGTGACAGCCAACCAGGAGCATGGAGAAGGGGACGTAAGGAAGGCCTCACAGAGGAGTCATCCTGCGGCTATGTTGGTTGAGTCATTCAGGAAGCAGAGTCCCAGGAGCTGGAAGCATAAGAGGAATACTGGGGGCAATGCCTGAGAAAGATAACAGTGACTGGGAGCAGGAGTGGACGGTGGCAGGGCAGGATCTGCCCAATGCTGGGCCTTACATCTGCAAGGGAGGGAAGAAGGGCCTCACATCAGCCCAGCAGGGGATGGTAAGCCCACAGACACCCTGGGGCTCAGTTACTATCTAAGTGTTAGAAAGAATTTTTCAGTGCCACAAAAGAAGTAGCACTCAGATATAAATTTTCTGCTGCTGCAATTTTACTTTTAGAGAAGGGTGAATCTCACAGATGGAGAAATGGCGAGAGGACACCTGAACAAGGGAAGGGAAGGGGTTTTTATCCTCAATGCATGTAGCCCCTACTGCTGTCATTCCCGCTGGCTAGGGTTGACCAATACAATCTGCTAATTGCAATTGGCTATTTTAAAGAGAGCAGGGTACGAGCCGGATTGGCAGGGTGAGTAGTCGGCAGGAACTATGGTTACAGGACAGGTGACTCAGGATGACTCAGGTCAGAGCAAGTGACCAGGTGACCTAGGCTGGAGCAGGATAGAGGCTAGAGGGGGGTTGTTTACTGAAACTAGGGCAAGGAGATGAAGAGAACATGGAAGTTAAACTTTAAAATGAAGAACAAAGAACAGGGGAGCTGAACATACTGATGCATTGGTTCTTTTGGAGAGGGATCTCAGGACTCATTGTACTTAACAATTTACAGTCTAAAACCTTAGAAGAGGAATTTATTATATCCTACATGCGTCCAGGGAAGCACATGGCCTTGGACTGGAAGGCTGGCATCTGGAAGTTGTCAGCCGCCAGCACCTTCTGCAGCAGGTACCTGCTCCCCAGAGGGAAGCATGGGTGGTGCACTCCAGAGCTGGCCGGGCTGGGCCTCAAGGAAGAGAAAGATTTTCATTTGTCAAAGGGGGAAGGGAGAGGTGGAGGAACAGGCACAGCAGTGGCTCATAGGCAGGGAAGCACAGGACCATTAGGAGACACCTAGGAAAGCCCATTTGTCTAGAACAGAGGATTCAAGGCACTGAGGAAAATGAGGGCCAGGCCAATGCGTTGGAGCAGCTTTGGCTTCCTATTGAGGGTTTGGGTAGAGCCAGAGCGTAAGGTAAGCCTCTGCTTTCCAGAGGAATCTAGCAGAGCATGGAACACAGATGGGACTGGAAGGCCTGGGAGGGGTCAGGAGGCCACAGGGACAGGCCACAGTCAGTGGTGCAGGCAAGAAGACAATGGCAGTCCACTGCGGTTCACACCTGAATCCCAGCCCATTGGGGAGGTCGAGGCAGGCGGATCACCTGAGGTCAGGAATTCGAGACTAGCCTGGCCAACATGGTAAAACCCTGTCTCTACTAAAAATACAAAAATTAGCTAGGTGTGGCAGGTGCCTGTAATCTCAGCTACTCAGGAGCCTGGGGCAGGAGAATCGCTTGAACCCAGGAGGCGGAGGTTGCAGTAAGCCACATAGCACCACTGCATTCCAGCCTGGGCGCGGGCGAAGCAAGACTCCATCTCAAAAAAAAAAAAAAAAAATTAGCCAGGTGGTGTGGGCGGATGCCTGTTGTCCTCGGGAGGCTGAGGCATGAGAATTATCTGGGAGGCAGAGAGGTTGCAATGAACCAAGATCATGCCACTGCACTCCAGGCTGGGTGACAGAGCAAGACTCTGTCTAAAAAAAAAAGACAGAAGGATGTCAGCATCTGATGCTGGCTGTCACCTTGACCCCGGTGATGCCAGTCACAGCTCCATTAACTGGGATCTAGGAAAATGAGTCATCCTTGGTCATGCACATTTCAAGTGGTGGCTGAATATTGAAGCCAGACTTGGGATCTGTTGTCTCCTCCAGCATGGTAGGAAGATGCTCTGAAAAGCAGGGGCTAGATCCCATCCCCTGCCCCACTGGGGCTGCGAGGTGGTGGTGGGGTGGGGCCTCAGGCTTGGGGCCATGAGACAAAGCCCAAGCCACCCTTCCATCTCCCTCCTCCTGAGACAGGGGCAGCAGGGCACACTAGTGTCCAGGAGCAGCCTTCTGCATGCTTATGAGGCCCTTCACCTCCACCCTCCAAAACTGGCAGACCCCACCTTCTTGGTGTGACCCCAGAGCTCTGAGCACAGCCCGCTCCTTTCCGCCTGCTCTGCCCCCACCCAGACTCCACCCCAATCTTATCCTCCACTGCTTTTCAGAGGAGCCTGGCCAACAAAAAATTCTCTTGTTTGTTTGTCTGTCTGCCGCCCTAGTCTCTGCCTCTCCCAGTCTCTCAGCTTCTGTTTCTTTCTTGAATTTTCTCTCAGTCTCTGAGGTCTCAAAATCACGAGGCTTTGACCCCTGTGGACCAGATGTCCAGCTAGTGGCCTTCTCTCCAGCCCCCCACAAGATGGCACAGAACTACAAACCCCAACATGCACTCTGGCCTGAAGTGCTTTGAGAGCACTGCATGCCCCACCTGCATTCTGGGAACTGTAGTTTCCTAGCCCCACATGCCTCACCAAGGCATCAAGCTCTTCCCTGGCCGGCTGGACTCTGCCTCGCCCTAGTCTCTCTGGGCTGACCTGCAGCCCTGGGAAGCATGCGCCACTGAATGACAGGGTGGGGGTGGAGGTTCTAGAGATGGCAACTTCCTGCTTCGTGTCCCCACTCTGGAGTCATGGGGGTGGGGTTCCAGAAATTAGCTGGGAGGTGGGAAGGGATACCCCCAATGTCAGACTCAAGGACAAAAGTCACTGCATCCTTGCTGGGCCTCTATCCCCAAGAACCCAAAAGAACTCAGGGGTAGGGATCCAGGAGCCTTTGTAGCGTATAGGGGAGGTGAAGGAGAGAACTGCGTGACCCCAGAGGTCCCTGTGGTCACTGAGAGTGTGGGATGCCATGCCCTGCTGCAGAAAGGGTGTGCTCACCTTCTGCTCCGACCCTTCAGGGAAAGGTTCACAGGTGAGGCCAAAGGCCCTTCTGTCTGGTGCCACATCACAGAAGGGCGAGACCCCGGTGAGCTACCCTGCCACTCCCCCATACCCCAGCCCCCACTGCAGCCCCAGGTTTCGCTGACACCTGGGTCCCACTTATCAGCCTCAGTCCTCACAGCGGAACCCAGGCGTCCGGCCCCCCACCCTCCAGGCCGGCGGGCGTGGAGCTGAGGCTTTAGAGCCTCCCAGCCGGGCTTGTTCCTGTCCCATTGTGTATGGGACAGGGGCGGGGCGGCGGTGGCCAGCCCTGGAGAGCCCACTGCCCTCCTCTCGGTCCCCTCCCCTTCCCAAGGAAAAGGCTGTGGGCCTCCCGCTGGAGCAGGCAGCAGAGTGGACGACAGTGACATGGGCAACTTGAAGAGCGGCTCAGGAACCCGGCCACCCTGTGGCCCAACTGGGGCTGGGCCTTGGGCTGTGCGGCAAGCAGGGCCCAGCCACCTCAGCCCCGAGCCCAGCCGGCCCCCGCATCCCTACCTCCCGCCAGCGCCAGAACACAGGTAAGGGCCAGGCAGCCAGGAGTACGTGGCACAAGGGTGGTGTCAAGGCCTGAAGCCTGGGGCTGGGAAGGTCTGGAACCTGTAGCCTGAAGCCAGGAGGGCCAGGTCACAAATGCAAAAGGGTTATCGGTGTGCACAGAATAGACAGTCTGGGAGGCTCAGAAGGAGACCAGGATCAGAGTCGGCAGGTGAAAGCTGGGAGTAAGGTTGCTGGGGCTATAGAATCCCGCCTAGGGTTTGAAATGCTGCCTCTGCCGCTGGCAAGAACTGTTTGAGCAAGTTACTTAACCTCTGGAACCTCCATTTATGTAGAACGGAGATACTGCAGTCACTTACCTCGTGGGGTAGTAAGTTTCTAGCTTCACAGCAAGCCTCTCTCAACCACAGCGATGATTATTTAGCTGAGAAGAAAGGAGCTGGACAGCAGTGGTTACAGAGGAGAGTGAGAAGGTGGGCCCCCAGAAGAGGGAGAGAGTTGGGCAGGAGACTCAGCCCTTGGAGCAAGGGGACTGAGAAGACAGAGCCACCAGGCTTTTTTTTCCCGGCTCCAGCACCCTCTTCAGTGGCTGTCACTCCTAAAAACTGACCATGCAGTTCCCAGAAGAGTCCTCCCTGGGGCAGAGGTCCCAGTAGAGAGGAAGGATCAGAGGCCTGGTGGGGTGCCAGCCAGGAGCAGGCTGGGGCTGCAGGCAGCTATGCGGAAGGCTGAGGGCTGGGGCCCTGCTGCTCAGGCGCACCTTGGCCTGGATCCTCCCTTCCTCCCCGCTGCTGGTGGCTCTGGGAGGAAGTGATAAGGCTCATGAGGCTTCCTCTACACAAGGGGCTGCTGTCAGGGAGGGGGTGTGAGTGTGGGAGGGAAATCAGAGCTGAGAACCCTGCAGGGCTTCCCTTCACTCAAGCACCAGGCTCTGTCCCCCTCAGGGTAGGGCTTATAGCAACTTTATGGGATTTGGTCACCCCATCTCCAGAAGAGGTGAAGCGGGTGCTGCAGGTGGGGTGCAACTCAGCCTCTGGCAGGGACTGTGAGCTCAGCACTAGCAGCTCCTTGTGGCCTGGTGACCCTGGTCTATAAACAGAGGCACAGCCTCACGCCCCTACCTCCCAAGGCATGCGGGACGCCAGAAGGCATGCAGCAGGTGGGCCTTGAGATCGCCAGTGCTGTAACAGTGGCCTCCGGTGACATCTGGGAGGCTAAAAGGAAACAAAACCTTCCTGATGACCCTATCCCTGGCTCCCAACAGCCCCCAAGCCTCCCGCTAACCCAGCCCGGAGGGGCCCAAGTTCCCGTGGAAGAACTGGGAGGTGGGGAGCATCGCCTATGACACCCTCAGCGCCCAGGCACAGCAGGTGAGGCTGGCCTGCCGTGTCCCCATCCCCATCGTCTCCAGGGAAAGGGTGGAAAGGCCAGGCCTCAGATGGGCTGAGAGGGAAGCCACCCTTCTCTGAATTGGCCTCTTGTTTCCAAAAAGAGGAGAGGACTGGGAGAACTAGCGGAGTTGAGGGACATGCACGGGACTTTGGGTGACCCTCAGCCTCCAGCCTTAACCCTGCACCCCTGGTTCAAGCTCTCCCTGTCCCACCCTGCACCCTCCTCCCTCTCCCACTACGCCTGCATCCTCCTCCTCCCTCTCCCCATCCCACCCCTGCACCCCTCCTCCTTTCCTCCCCCTGTCCCACCCCCTGCACCCTTCCTCCCTCTCCCCATCCTATCTCTGCACCCCTCCTCCCTCTTCCCTCGCCTCCACCCCCTGCACCCCCTCCCTCCTCTCCCCATCTCCTTGCACCCCCTCCTCCTCTCTCTATCCCACTTCTGCACTTCCTCCCTCCTCTCCCCCGCCCCACCCCTGCACTCCCTCCTCCTCCCTCTCCGCCCCACCCTGCACCCCCTCCTCCCTTCTCTCTGGGTCTCCACCCTGCACTCTCCTCCCTCCCTCCCTCGTCCCACTCTGCACTTCTCCTCCTCTCCTCGTCTCACTCCCTGCACCCCTCCTCCCTTTCTCTGCCCCACTTCCCCTGCACCCCTCCTCCCTTTCTCCCGGGCCCCACTCCCTGCACCCCTCCCTCCCTTTCCTCGCCCCACCCCCTGCACCCCTCCTTTCCTCGTCCCACCCCTGCACCCTCCTCCCTTTCCCCCGCCCCACTCCCTGCACCCCTCCTCCCTTTCATCCCACTCCCTGCACCTTCCTCCTGCTCCCCCATCCCACCTCTGTACTCCTCCCTCCTCCCTTTTCTCGGCCCCACCCCTGCACCTTCTTTCCTGCTCCCCCATCCCACCTCTGTACTCCCTCCTCCCTCTTCCTCGTCCCACCCTGCACTCCTCCTCCCTTCCTGTTCCACCCCCTGCACTTCTCCTCCCTCTCCCCATTCCTGTCCCACCCCTGCCCCTGGCCTGGCCTGACTTTTGCACCCCCTTGACCCAGGATGGCCCCTGCACCCCAAGACGCTGCCTGGGCTCCCTGGTATTTCCATCGAAACTATGTGGGCCGGCCCTGCCCTGGGGCCTCCCGGCCCCCGAGGAGCAGCTGCTGAGTCAGGCCCGGACTTCATCAACCAGTACTACAGCTCCATCAAGAGGTGACAGCTTCCCGACGCCACCAGCCTCCTTTGTCCCACTGAGGCCCCAGAAACCCCATGAGGACCTTCCCTCGACCTACTCCCTTCCTGCAGATCCCACCATGCCCACTCCCTTCCCAGATCCCAACGTCGGCCCACTCCCTCCCAGATCCCAACGCAGCCCACTCCCTTCCCAGATCCCAACGCGGCCCACTCCCTTCCCAGATCGCAAGGCGGCCCACTCCCTCCCAGATCGCACGTGGCCCACTCCTTCAGATCCCAACACTGGCGGGTTCCCTGCTCCTCCCCAGCGCTCACACATAGCCTGAGGAGGGTTCTTCCTGTCCCACACAACTTCCTGTTTGTCCCTCTCCCACCCCCTCCCCAGGAGCGGCTCCCAGGCTCATGAACAGCGGCCTAAGAGGTGGAAGCCGAGGTGGCAGCCACAGGCACCTAACAGCTTAGGGAGAGCGAGCTCTCGTGTTCGCCAAGCAGGCCTGGCTAGCGCCTCCCGCCAGGGCCGGATCCAGTGGGGGAAGCTGCAGGCGAGGCCAGCTAGCAGAGAGCCAGGCACTACTGAAAGGGAGCGGGGTGGCGGGGCAGTTCCTGAGGCTTCCCAGTGGATCGGGAGGTCCCCAAACAGGGGGAGATCTTGCCTGTTCCCCTTAGAGACAGGAAAGGTAGGACCACCCCCACCCCTCAGCACCCAGGGAACCCCCCAACCTGTAGCAAGACTGGTTATTAGGCCCTATGGCAGTGCCTTGGCTGGGAGGAGGAAAGCAGTCTAGACCTGCTGCAGGGGTGAGGACAGCTGAGCGGAGCTTCCTTGGGCGGTTCTGTCAGTAGCAGGAGCAGCTCTCCCTGGAAAAGCCCTGGCTGCTGCTTCTCCCAAAGGAGAAGGCTTCTCTGCCAGGGCCAGTCCAGTGCAGCCTCACCCACACCCGCTGCTCCCCAGGTCCCCTGCCTGACGTGCACCTCCCTCACACCCCAGCCCACAGACTCCTGGGATGGCCTTGGTTACTGGAACAGCCTGTGACCACAGCACTGAGAGAAGCAAGCTGCCCCATGGGGGACTTGGTCCCATGGCCTTGGCCTCCTTCACCATCACTGGCCGCCAAAGAGTTTGAAATAAAGCCACGTGCCCAGTGAATCCCAAAGGAGCCTCAAATAAAATAAAAACAATCCTATCTGACACTTGCCTGACGCTTCAAGTCGCTCGTGCTTTAACTCAACTTTGATCCATCTGAGCTGCCACAGTGGACCCCACTCAGAGCTGCTGCCCCTCCCTGACCCCAGGTTGAATTGCCACCCTGCCCCTGTCACTGGCACATGCTTCCTCCTCCCCAGGCAGGAGTGGACCTCCCAGCCTCCTCCTGGGCCTCCACTCAGCCAGCCAAGACAGCTCTTCCAAGCTCCCAGAATGTCAGGATGAGCAGGGTCCTAGGAGGCCTCTGCAGTCTTCCCTTTCCTACTGTCCATGCTCAAGAAAATCAGATGGCTGGCTTGGGTCACCCATCCTTTCTTGAGTGCCATGGATCATGGGGGATTTGCTGCCCACACTCTTAGGTGGCTCTCTAGACATCTGTTAGTGCCTAACCCAAGATCAGTTTGACAGAGGCTGAGTCCTCCTCTGTACTGGGTACCAAGTCAGCTTCTGTAGGGATGGGGAGACACCTGGCCCAGGGAGGAGATGAGGAGCAGCCTGATGGTGCTACATATGTCAGAGAGCAGGGCAGGAAGGGATCAGTGTGGATGCCAGTGGTTAGGAGGGCGCCATGGGGTGAACCATGGCCCCTGCCTCCTCATCAGCAGCTCCTCTGGGGCTGATACTCAAGATCCTTGCCTCTCCTCACCCTCCTCTCTCGCTGCCTCGGCTGGCTCAGGTGTTCGATGCCCGGGACTGCAGGTCTGCACAGAAATGTTCACTCTACATCTGCAACCACATCAAATACGCCACCAACTGGCAACCTTCGGTGAGTGCTCCCACCACACCAGGCTCCCAGCCTTTCTCCCGAGGCAGGGAAGGCAGGGCCTGACTAGTTTTTCCCCCATGCATGCCAGCTCGGCCATCACAGTGTTCCCAGCGCCTGCCCTGCCGAGGAGACTTCCGAATCTGAACAGCCAGCTGGTGCGCTATGCGGGCTACCGCAGCAGGACGGCTCTGTGCGGGGGACCAGCCACGCCGAGATCACCGAGGTGGGTACCGGAGAACCACCAACAAGGGTGTCTCTAAGGAGAATGAGGAAACTAGTGGGGAGAAGGCTCTGGGATCCAGGCAGGAAGAGGGAGTCTGAGATAAAGGATGAAAAATCACAGCGGAGGAGTGCCTGGGTGGTCAAGCAGAGAGACCCAGTCACTGAGGGTCCTGAGCTGGAAGGCAGGAGACAGTGGATTTGAGGGTCCCCTGAGGAGGGCATGAGGCTCAGCCCCCAGGCTTCTCTGGCCCGCTCCCCACAGCCTGCATTCAGCATGGCTGACCCCAGGAAACGCCGCTTGACGTGCTGCTCCGCCGCTGCAGGCCTCGGATGAGCCCCCAGAACTCTTCCCCTCTGCCCCCTGAGCTGGTCCTTGAGGTGCCCCGAGCACCCTACGAGCACCAAAGGATTGACTGGCTGGGTCACCCGTGGGTGGGGATGGAGGGGGCCATCCTGAGCCTCTCGAGGAAGGCCTGCAAGGGGGTGTTGATCTCACACCCCAACACCCCCAGGCTGGAGTGGTTTGCAGCCCTGGGCTCAAGGGCTGGTACGCTCCCAGCAGTGTCCAACATGCTGCTGGAAATTGGGGTTCGAGTTCTGCAGCCCCCTTCCAGTGGCTGGGTAGCATGGCACTGAGATCGGCACGCAGGACCTGTGTGGGACCTCACCGCTACAACATCCCTGAGGTGAGGCGCGGGTGGCCTAGGCACCGACGTCCGGGCCCCAGCGGAGTCTGGCTTCACTCCATCCCCAAAATGCCAGCCACGGGGACAATCAGAGCAGGTCCAGGACTGCCTCCTAAATAAGAACTGAGGACTAGCTCTGGAACCACTGAGGCAAAGGGGTGGGGGGATGGGAGGGTGTGTGTGGGGGGGTGTGAGTGGGTGAGTGTCAATGTGTGGGTTTGTGTGGGTGGGGTGGGTTTGTGGGTGTGTAGGGGGTGAGAGTATGGGTTTTAGGTAGGTGGAATGGGGTTTGTGGGGGTGCGTAGGGGGTGAGAGTATGTGGGGAGTATGTGGGTTTGCAGGGGGTAGGAGTGTGGGTTTGTGGGGGTGTGTAGGGGTGAGGTATGTGTGGGTTTGTAGGGGGTAGTGAGTGGGTTTGTGGGGGGTGTGTAGGGGTGAGGTGAGTGTGGGTTTGTAGGGGTAGGGGAGTCTGGGTTTGTGGGGGTGGAGTGTGAGTGTGGGTTTGTAGGGGTAGGTGAGTGTGGGTTTGTGGGGTGTGTAGGGGTGAGCAGGGGTTTGTAGGGGTAAGTGAGTGTGGGCTTGTGGGTGTGTGTAGGGGTGAGGTGTGTGGGTTTGTAGGGGTAGGTGAGTGTGGGTTTGTGGGGGGTGTGTGTAGGGGTGAGTGTGTATGTGTGGGTTTGTAGGGGTAGAGGTGGGAGTGTGGGTTTGTGGGGGTGGGTAGGGGTGAGTATGTGTGTGGGTTTGTAGGGTAGGTGAGTGTGGGTTTGTAGGGGTAGGTGAGTGTGGGTTTGTGAGGGTGTAAAGAAGAGTGTGTATGTGTGGGTTTGTAGGGGTAGTGAGGTGGGTTTGTAGGGGTAGGTGAGTGGGTTTGTGGGGGTGTGTAGGGGGTGAGTGTGTGTGGGTTTGTAGGGGCAGGTGAGTGTGGGTTTGTGGGGGTGTGTAGGGGGTGAGTGTGTGTGGGTTTGTAGGGGTAGGTGAGTGTGGGTTTGTGGGGGTGTGTAGGGGTGAGTGTGTGTGGGTTTGTAGGGGTAGGTGGGTGTGGGTTTGTGGGGGTGTGTAGGGGTGAGTGTGTATGTGTGGGTCTGTAGGGGTAGGTGAGTGTGGGTTTGTGGGGGTGTGTAGGGGTGGTGTGTATGTGGGTTTGTAGGGTAGGTGAGTGGGCTTGGGAGGGTGCAGGGGTGAGTGTGAAGTGTGTGGGTTCCGAGGGGTAGGAGTGTGGGTTTGTGGGGGTGTAGGGGGTGATGTGTATGTGTGGGGTTTGTAGGGGTAGGTGAGTGTGGGTTTGTGAGGGTGTGTAGGGGTGGGGGTGTATGTGTGGGTCTGTAGGGAGGTGGGAGTGTGGGTTTGTGGGGTGTGTAGGGGGTGAGTGTGTATGTGTGGGTTTGTAGGGGTAGGTGAGTGTGGGTTTGTGAGGGTGTGTAGGGGTGAGGGTGTGTGGGTCTGTAGGGGTAGGTGAGTGTGGGTTTGTGGGGCTGTGTAGGGGGTGAGTGTGTATGTGTGGGTTTGTAGGGGTAGGAGAGTGTGGGTTTGTGGGGGTGTGTAGGGGTGAGTGTGTGTATGTGTGGGTTTGTAGGGGTAGGTGAGTGTGTGTGGGTTTGTAGGGTAGTGGAGTGTGGGTTTGTGGGGGGTGTGTAGGGGTGAGTGTGAAATGTGTGGGTTTGTAGGGGTAGATGAGTGTGAGTGTGTGGGTTTGTAGGGTAGGTGAGGAGTGTGTGGGTGTGTAGGGTGGAGTGTGTGTGGGTTTGTAGGGGTAGGTGAGTGTGGGTTTGTGGGGTGTGTAGGGGTAGGTGAGTGTGGGTTTGTGGGGGTGTGTAGGGGGTAGGTGAGTGTGGGTTTGTAGGGGTAGGTGAGTGTGGGGTTTGTGGGGTGTGTAGGGATAAGTGGGGTTTGTGGGGTTGTAAGAGGGGGTGAGTGGAATGTGTGGGTTTGCAGGGTAGGTGGAGTGGGTTTGTGGGGGTGTGTAGGGATGAGTGTGGGTTTGTGGGGTTGTATGGGGGTGAGGAATGTGGGTTTGTAGGGGTAGGTGAGTGTGGGTTTGTAGGGGTAGGTGGGTGTGGGTTTGTGGGGGTGTGTAGGGTGAGTGTGTGTGGGTTTGTAGGTAGGTGAGTGGGTTTGTGGGGTGTGTAGGGGTGTGAGAGTGTGGGTGTGTGGGCATGGGAGAGTGGGTGTGTGTGTAGGCAGTGAGTGTGAATTGTGGGTTTGTGGGGGTGGGGGGTGTCAGTGTGTGGGTTTGGGGTGGGTGTGGGAGGTGAGTGGGTGGGTGAGGGGGGCATGGGCGTAGGTGTGAACGTGTAGTTGTTCTTCCAGGTATAGGACCCATAGCTCTAGAGCTTTCATCAGATTCTCAAAGGGGACCTTGACTCGGAAAAGGTTAAGATCCATTTTATAGATGAGAAATTAAAGCCTGGGGCTGAGGAATGACTGGCCCAAGATCCCTCTCTGCTCTGAGGTGCCTTTGCAGGCAAAAACCTGAACCAGTCCACTCGACAGCCAGGCCTCCCAATGGACACCACCCACCTCACTCCTCCCAGCCATGCGTGGGAAACAGATAGTCTCCCCACCCCACCCCCATCATCTCTGTCCCTACCAATGCCACACACCCTCCTGCCCCAGGATGTGGCTGTCTGCATGGACCTGGATACCCGGACAACTTCGTCCCTATGGAAAGACAAGGCAGCGGTGGAAATCAATGTGGCCGTGCTGCACAGTTACCAGGTGCATAGGCCCAGACTGGCCAGGAAGGCCAAGGGTTTGCATACAGGGGCAGCAGGGGCGGGGGATGGAGGAGAGGGAGCCATTTAGAAACTGGGGCAGGATTTGGACAGGCAGAAGAAGTTCCATAGTCCCAGTGCCATGGCACACACTGGCCTGCGGTTCGGGGACAGGGCGGGTACTATTCCAGGCGCTGTCATCTGGCAGCTTACTGTGTGCCAGGGACCTTGCTGTTTATAGCATACCCAGTCATATTGATTCTCAGGGCATATTGGGTATTTTAGTTTGTGGGGACCCACTGGATCCTGGAAACGAATATTAGGATTGAGGGCACACCAGGAGTCATAGTTTGAGGAAACCGGGGCCTGCTGAGAATTTCTGTGGGCTCTTTGGTTTGGGGGCCAGGCATATAGATGCTGGAGATTAGAACTGTTGTTTCATGTTGAACTTGGAGCATGACCATGCATGATGCAGTTTGGGGTGAGGGCGACATTGTGGTTTGAGGGGACACAGGGTGTGTTAGATATGGGGTAACCTAGGCACATGTGGTTTTGGGTGACAGGAGTGGTGGAGGGAGAATGGGCGAGGTCTGTGGGTCTGGTCTGAGCCTCTCCTCCCTCCCTTCCAGCTGGCCAAAGTCACCATTGTGGACCACCACGCCGCCACAGCCTCCTTCATGAAGCACCTGGAGAATGAGCAGAAGGCCAGGGGGGGCTGCCCTGCAGACTGGGCCTGGATCGTGCCCCCCATCTCGGGCAGCCTTACTCCTGTCTTCCATCAGGAGATGGTCAACTATTTCCTGTCCCCAGCCTTCCGCTACCAGGTGCCCACCCTAACTGGCTCTGCCAGCCTGGGCCCAGCTCTAATTCTACGCAGCCCCTGGGGACCTCTAACCTTTCCTTTTCTTTACCTCCCCTCCCAACCCCATCACCTCTCTGCAGCCAGACCCCTGGAAGGGCAGTGCGGCCAAGGGCACCGGCATCACCAGGAAGAAGACCTTTAAAGAAGTGGCCAAGTGGGTACCCAGGAGCACTGTCCTCCCCCATGCACCCTGGGGGACCCTGCCCCCAGCAGTGTTCTGGGCCCACCACTCAGTACCCCAAAACCCTGTTGTGAGGGGAGTGGACCCTTGCCTGGGGAGGCCCTGCCTCTGTGCACCTGGGACACCCCCACGCTTCCCTCTCCCGCAGTGCCGTGAAGATCTCTGCCTCGCTCATGGGCACCGTGATGGCGAAGCGAGTGAAGGCGACAATCCTGTATGGCTCCGAGACCGGCCGGGCCCAGAGCTACGCACAGCAGCTGGGGAGACTTTTCCGGAAGGCTTTTGATCCCCGGGTAGGGCTGAGCCCAGGGGAGCAGGGAGCTAGAAAGAGGGGGCTCTATCAGTATCTTCAGAGGTGCCCCGGAGGACAGGAAGTGTTAAAAGTCAGGACTCACAAGTGTGACTTGACACCCGGAACCACAGGTCTTTAGAGATCAAATTGGGGCCTGAATCTTGCACTGCCAGGGAGGCCAGAGTGAGGAGGACAGGGCCTCCGGGGGTCACAGAACCCAGGATATCTGTCTTCCCACCCACAGGTCCTGTGTATGGATGAGTATGACGTGGTGTCCCTCGAACACGAGACGCTGGTGCTGGTGGTAACCAGCACATTCGGGAATGGGGATCCCCCGGAGAATGGAGAGGTGAGAGCTTCCAGGAAAGGGGCTGCTGGGAATGAGGAGAGACTCAGAATTGGAGTGACTGGGCAGGAACCTCTGCCCAACACACACACACATACACGCACACACACACATACACGCACACACACACCAGGATGGAAAAGGAGATGATGCTAAGAGACCCCTGGAGCCTGAAACCCCACACAAGCCACACTCCTAGCCCATCCACATGGCTGCCCGCCTACAAGCACATCTGCTGAACTGCGTCCCCAAGTCATTTCCATTATCAGTGCAAGTTTTTAATACAAGGAAGGCATGTCCTGACTGACCAAGAGGTTAGACTGTGCTCAGGCACTAACAAGAAAAATAGGGAGGCCGGGCGCAGTGGCTCAAGCCTGTAATCCCAGCACTTTGGGAGGCCGAGACGGGCGGATCACGAGGTCAGGAGATCGAGACCATCCTGGCTAACACGGTGAAACCCCGTCTCTACTAAAAAGTACAAAAAACTAGCCGGGCGAGGTGGCGGGCGCCTGTAGTCCCAGCTACTCGGGAGGCTGAGGCAGGAGAATGGCGTAAACCCGGGAGGAGGAGCTTGCGGTGAGCAGAGATCCGGCCACTGCACTCCAGCCTGGGTGACAGAGCCAGACTCCGTCTCAAAAAAAAAAAAAAAAAAAAAAAAAGAAAAGAAAAATAGGGATATGTCACTGAGGGCGGCTTCTAGGATGTGGGTAATGTTTCTTAATGGGATGCCGGTTACACAGGTGTGTTCAGTTTGTAAAAATCCATAGAGCTGTACATTTACAACACGTACAACACTATTCCAGCATTTTCTTTTCTTTTCTTTGTTTTATTTATTTTGAGAATCTATTTATGTTGCCCAGGCTGGCCTTGAACTCCTAGCCTCAAGAGATCCTCCTGCCACAGGTTCCTTTTTTAAAAGAAGAAATAGAGAGCTGTTTCGATGCCAACATAGATTACATAACTTCACTTTTTAAAAAGAAACACAAAGCTAGAGTGCCATCCTTGAATGCCTTCTCTTGCAAGCGTAGGTGTCTCTGAGCTGCCCCAGGCTAGGTTCATTTCTGGGTCTTACCTGCTCCAGCTTCTAGGTGTTAAAGCCCTTATTAGCACTAAGTACTTCCTCAGTACTCTTTTTTTTTTCCTTTGAGACAGGGTCTCACTTTGTGGCCCAGGCTGGAGTGCAGTAGTACGATCATGGCTCACTGCAGCCTCAACCTCCAAGACTCAAGCAATCCTGCCACTTCAGCCTCCCAAGTAGCTGGGACCACAGCCACATGCCATGATGCCTAGCTAATTTTTGTATTTTTTGTAGAGATGGGGTTTCGCCATGTTGCCCAGGCTGGTCTCTAACTCCTGGGTTCAAGCAATCCACCTGCCTCGGCCTCCCAAAGTACTGGGATTACAGACGTGAGCCACTGCACCTGGCCCCCAGTATCGTAAGCAAGCTTGAATTTGGTGAAAGCCTTTTTGCTGCCTTAGTGTCCATTTCAGCCCCCATTCTGACCTACCTTTTAAAGAAAAATAGCACCAGCAATTGACTTTTTTTTAGCATAAAGGTGTATAGACACCCATATAAGCTACAGCCTTCACAAGGCATAGCACATTTTCATCACCCTGGAAAGTTCCCTCATCAGTTCCTCACGTGAATCCCTTTCCAATCTGTCTCTCTGTCAGACGTGTCTGTCACCACAGATTAGTTTTACCTGCTCTAGAACAGCACCGAGATGGAAGCACGCAGTGTTATGGCATCTCCTGCTGAGTCTGTTTTTGAGGCCCACCCGTGTTGTTGCATGACTCAGTATTTCACTCATTCTGCTGCCGAGTGCCATTCATTGTGTGAATATCCCCAGTTTGTTTATCCGTTCTCCTGTTGGTGACACTTGGGCTGTTTCCAGGTCGGGGCTATTATGAATAAAGCTGTTATGAACATTCTTGTACCCGGCTTTTGTGGGCTTATGTTTTTATTTCTCTTGGATAAATACCTAGGAGTAGAATTGGTAGGTCATAGGGTAGATGCATGTTGAATCTCTTTTTTAAAAAATAAAACTGCCAGGCCAGGCGTGGTGGCTCACACCTGTAATCCCAGCACTTTGGGAGGCCCAGGTGGGCAGATCACTTGAGGTCAGAAGCTCAAGACCAGCCTGGCCAACATGGCAAAACCCTATCTCTACTAAAAATACAAAAATTAGTTGGGCGTGGTGGTACACGCCTGTAATCCCAGCTACTCAGGAGGCTGAGGCAGGAGAGTTGCTTGAACCTGGGAGGTGGAGGTTGCAGTGAGCCGAGATCACGCCACTGCACTCCAGTGTGGGTGGGTGACAGAGCAAGAATTCTACTCAAAATAAAATACAAATAAATAAAATAAATCTGTCGGCCGGGCATGGTGGCTCAAGCCTGTAATCCCAGCACTTTGGGAGGCCGAGATGGGTGGATCACGAGGTCAGGAGATCGAGACCATCCTGGCTAACACGGTGAAACCCCGTCTCTACTACAAAAATACAAAAAACTAGCCAGGCGCGGTGTCGGGCGCCTGTAGTCCCTGCTACTTGGGAGGCTGAGGCAGGAGAATGGCGTGAACCCGGGAGGCGGAGCTTGCAATGAGCTGAGATTCGGCCACTGCACTCCAGCCTGGGTGACAGAGCGAGACTCCGTCTCAAAAAATAAATTAATTAATTAATCAATTAAATAAAATAAAACTGTCAAACAGTAAAGCAAATTAAACTGCCCTTTAAGATCTGTGCAATTCAATGTATGTAATTTTATGCCAAACTTTTAACAAATCTAGGAATACAGCTCACAGAAAATGGGGTATATTCACTAAAATATGAACAGGAATATTTATAGCAAATTTGTTTGTACTACCCCACACTGGAAACAATTCAAATGACCATCGACAAAAACAGATAAATTCTGGTATATTCAAGTGCCATATCGCACTAAGTGTGAACAAAAGACAACCACACACAACAATGCAGGTGAATCTCAAAAAACGTGAAGAGAAAAAAAAAGCCAGACCAAAGAATACACACTCTACTACAGGATTCACTTTATATAAAGTTCAGAAACAGGCAGAACTAATCCATGGAGTTAGAAATTGGGAGAGGAGATAGTCACTGGGGTGGGGGTGGCAGTGACAGGAAGGAGGCACAAAGGTGGCTTCTAGGATGCGGGTAATGTTTCTTTTTTTTCTTCTCTTTTTCTTTTTCTTTTTTTTTTTTTTGAGATGGAGTCTCATTCTGTTGCCCAGGCTGGAGTGCAATGGCGTGATCTCAGCTCACTGCAACTTCTGCCTCCCCGGTTTGAGTGATTCTCCTGCCTCAGCCTCCCGAGTAGTTGGAATTACACGCACCCGCCACCATGGCCAGCTAATTTTTGTATTTTTAGTAGAGACGGGGTTTCACCATGTTGGCCAGGCTAGTCTTGAATCCCTGACCTCAGGTGATCCACCCGCCTCAGCCTCCCAAAGTGCTGGGCGTGAGTCACTGCACCCAGCCATGGGTAATGTTTCTCGATGGGATGCCGGTTTCACAGGTGTGTTCAGTTTATGACAACCTGTAGAGCTGTACATTTACAACATGTGTGCACCTCTGGACTTGTGTTGCACGTTGACAAAACATTCAAAAATGAAATTCAAATCACGCTTGCTAACTCTGGCGAACCTGGGAACCAGCACCCAGAGGCATCTGCAGTTGAGCACCAGATACTGTTCCTTCCAGCTTCCTTCCCCTGGGAGGTCCACTTCACGCCGCTTCGTCATGGCATCACAAACAGGGCCATGGTCTTCTGAGGAGGGCAACCTGCACAATGTCTGCTAGTGACCAGGACACTGCCAAAGGAACTGACAGTTTGTCCACCCATGAAATCCACTAAAACAGGAAAGATTTGCCCTAGCCATTGCTACCTGGGACTGAGGAAAGAGCCGTGCCCTCCCCTGCAGCTGCAGGATATCTGCCTGCCCCAACAAGTGGGGATTCAGCAACTCCACTTTTAAGGATTACCCAGCTGAAGCATTTAAAAGTAGGAGCGAGGCACAGGTACAAGGGCGTTTGAGGGCGCATTGTTCCCAGACCACCCAGCTGCCCTTCATTCTCAGTGAAGTACAATGTAGCCACTAAAAAGAAAGAGGTCATGTTTTGGGAAGTCCAGGCAGGAGGATTGCTTGAGCCCAGGAGTTCAAGGCCAGACTGAACAACACAGTGAGACTCCATCTCTTCAGAAAATTTAACAATTAACCAGGAGTGGTGTCACAAACCTATAGATCTAGCTACTAGGAAGGCAGAAAAATCCCTTAAGCCCAGGAATTCGAGGTTACAGTGAAATATGATCGAGCCACTGCCTCTCAACCTGGGCAACACAGCGAGACCCATATCTAAAAACAATACTACTTAATTAGGTCAATATTGTTGTATTGGCCTGGAGGGATGCCTGCAATAAATTATTGATTAAAGGCCGGGCACGGTGGCTCACACCTGTAATTCCAGCACTTTGGAAGGTCGAGGCAGGCGGATCACAAGGTCAGGAGATCGAGACCATCCTGGCTAACACAGTGAAACCCGTCTCTACTAAAAATACAAAAAAATTAGCCGGGTGCGGTGGTGGGCGCCTGTAGTCCCAGCTACTTGGGAGGCTGAGGCAGGAGAATGATGTGAACCCAGGAGGCAGAGGTTGCAGTGAGATCGCGCCACTGTACTCCAGCCTGGGTAACAAAGCGAGACTCCATCTAAAAAAAAAAAAAAAATTATTGATTAAAAACAAGGAAGTATAGTATGGTACCACTTTTATTTTTAAAAAATACTATAAATATGCACATAAGTTCAAGGAAAAAGGGCTGGAAGGTTAACATCTGTCAATGGTGCATATGCCTGGAGGGAAGATGGGGTGGTCTTTATTACTTTTCACATTTCTGTAATGTCATTTTTCAAAATGAAAATTTTTGAAATTTTCAAAACAAAAATTAAAAGTTACGAATCAATAATAATGAGGGTCAGCTGGTACAGTTTTAAACTTCTGTGTTGTTTGAAATGAAACAAAACTAACCCTGATGCAAACGCTCCCCTCGCCAGAGCTTTGCAGCTGCCCTGATGGAGATGTCCGGTCCCTACAACAGCTCCCCTCGGCCGGAACAGCACAAGTGAGTTGGCTGAGAGTTTGAGGGGGCTGGGGGAGCTGAGGCATTTGGAGACACAAACAGAAAGCGGGTCTGAAAAGCCCTCCCTCTGTGCCTCGACTCGTTTTCCCACCAAAAGCCAGGGCTCTAAGATGCCCTCCCTTCCAGGCTGGAACGGCAGTCCAGACCTGCCTGCTTCTGAGAGCCGAGACAGTCCTGAGGTCTTCAGAGATGGGGGTGTGGTGTGGCAGGGCCCCAGGCTCAGAAGCCCCTGGGATGCTGGCCCTCAGCCCCTCCCAAGGGCAGGGCCTTTCCTGTCCCAGAGGCAGAGACCCTGAAGCTGTCCCTGGGGCTGCACCTGGGCCTGGGATGTATCTCCAGGGCCCTGTGACAACCTTGTCTTTGTCCTCTCTTGCCAGGAGTTATAAGATCCGCTTCAACAGCATCTCCTGCTCAGACCCACTGGTGTCCTCTTGGCGGCGGAAGAGGAAGGAGTCCAGTAACACAGACAGTGCAGGGGCCCTGGGCACACTCAGGTCGGGGCCTCACCAAGAGGGGTGCAATGGGTGGGCAAGCTGCCTGGGCAAACGTGGGCTGCAAAGGGAGCTCTAGTGACAACCCCTGCACCCCAGGTTCTGTGTGTTTGGGCTGGGCTCCCGGGCCTACCCCCACTTCTGCGCCTTTGCTCGTGCGGTGGACACGCGGCTGGAGGAACTGGGCGGGGAGCGGCTGCTGCAGCTGGGCCAGGGCGATGAGCTGTGTGGCCAGGAGGAGGCCTTCCGCGGCTGGGCCCAGGCTGCCTTCCAGGTGAGCCCAGCCCAGCCCCTGTTCTGACTCCTCCTACCTGGGATGCCTCCTCCAGCCTCACTCTGTCCTGATTCTGTCTGGTTCTTTGGTCCCTTCCTGTTCCTCCCAAAATCCACCCTCATCTCTCCATGGCATAGCCAGCTCTTCTGGGTCAGAGGCAGAGGACGATGTGGCCCTGCCGACCACAGGGGGTGCCTAGCCCAGGCAAAAGTGCAGCCAAAAGCGAGCAGGCAGGGCCCTGGCAGGAGGGAGCTTCAGCTAGGCACAGGCTGGGCCTCATGAGTGGGTGCACAAAGGGAGGGGGTGCAGGGCAGGGCAGGCCACCCCAACCAGGATGGGCAGGATGGAGGGAGAAGGAAGGGACGGAGAGAAGGTCAGACAGAGGCAAAGGCTGAAGCTGAGGCCAGCACAGAAGCCACAGGAAGTCAGAGGCCAGACAGCCTGGGGCGGTGCCTGCACCACAGAACTGGTCCGGGGCCAGGCAACCAAGCTCAAGGAGAGGTGGGTCCCTGGGGGCCATGGCTTTTTAAGCCTGGGCTTCCTCAGGGGCAGCACTGCCTGTCTGGGGATCATGTCTGCAGTTGACAGGGGCTTGGTCTCCCCAGTGCCACACTGTTCAGGGCAGTGCTGCTCCCTGGGGGCCCAGGCTGGAGCTCAGCAGATTTGCCTTGACTGGAGGAGGAGGGCATCCTAGGAGGAGGGGGAGAGGAAGGGCTACCTCAGGGACGGGGAGGTCAGGCTGCAGAAACACATAGGCCCCGATTAGGAAGAAGGGAACGGAAAATAAGACTTAAAGAATTTAAACAAAAAGAGCCATTGGAGCAGGACGAGACCACATCATAAGGTTTTGGGAATAGGACTTTAGAGGTGTAGGATCCATTACAGCATCACTGAACCAGAAGCAGGAAGGCTGAGCTAAGCAGAGCACCAACAGTGGAGATAGGAAGGAAGGGAGGGAGGGAGGGGGCTGAGGAAGGAAGGCAGAGATATAAGACTTCACATGCACCACAAAAGAAAGATTAACGGGACTTGGTGATATGAGGCTCAGCCAATCACAGGTGAGCCCTGGATTTCAAGCCTGGGAATGGCCCAGCAGTTTTCCAGCTGTGTGCCTGACAGGATCCACACCCGCCCAGGGGTCTGCCCCGTGGGGTCCCCTCTGCCGCCCGAATTGTGCGTCCCTTCCCAGGAGCACTTACTATCTGCACGCACTTTATGGAACGCTAAGGGCGTTCCATAAAGTATCTCATCTAATCTTCACCAGAACACAATGAGGTGTAAAGATGGGGAAACTGAGGCATGTCACTGTAAGTACGCGAGTCGGAATCTGAATGCAGGTCTGAACACACAGATGCCTTCACAGAGCTACTGTGTGCCAAGCACTGTGCTTCTCGGGTCACGGGATGAACACTCACCAGATAAGGAAAGATGCACCAATCAGGACGTGCAGAGGAGGAGCCAGCTGGGTCCCTGGGCCCAGCGGCGAATCCATGAAATGGGCTGGCGCAAAACGTGCTGTCGTTGGCGCCGGCCTCAGCCACTGGGGCTGCCAACCCCCCAGGAGCAAGACGCAGTGAAGCCGCCCAGGCTCCTCACTACGTCGCCCCCTGGTGGCGGGAGGTCCTCAGCCCTCACCGGCCTATCCCGCAGGCCGCCTGTGAGACCTTCTGTGTGGGAGAGGATGCCAAGGCTGCTGCCCGAGACATCTTCAGCCCCAAAAGGAGTTGGAAGCGCCAGAGGTACCGGCTGAGCGCCCAGGCCGAGGGCCTGCAGTTGCTGCCAGGTGGGCCCTGGCCTCACCCTCACCCAGCTGGTTCTCAGAGGACCCCGTACCCCGGGACTAAAGCACTCAGGGGCCAGGCCCTGCTCCCTGGTTCAGGCTGCCTCGTTTGCCCCTCCCCGCCACCAGGTCTGATCCACGTGCACAGGCGGAAGATGTTCCAGGCTACAATTCTCTCAGTGGAAAACCTGCAAAGCAGCAAGTCCACGTGAGGACGACGGCTTTACCGCCCCCCAACCCCTGTCCTGCACACCCCGACCCTGGACCCTCCTCCTCCCACATTCTTCCCCCCCCCACCCCTCTCTGACTCCCCATAAGTGCCCCTCTCCCCACCCCCAGGAGGGCCACCATCCTGGTGCGCCTGGACACTGGAGGCCAGGAGGGGCTACAGTACCAGCCGGGGGACCACATAGGTGTCTGCCCACCCAACCGGCCCGGCCTTGTGGAGGCGCTGCTGAGCCGCGTGGAGGACCCGCCTGCGCCCACCGAGCCCGTGGCAGTAGAGCAACTGGAGAAGGGCAGCCCTGGTGAGGGGCAGCCTGGGATGCAACAGGGCACACCAGCCCCATGCCCAGCCCCACCCCCAACCCCAGGCCTCCAGGAGCTCAGGCCCCGGGGGATGGCCACCTCCTCCGCAGCTCAGCAGGTGGGCTCAGAGCTGGCTGTGCTGCTCACTGCCGGGCTGGCCTTGTTGCTGGACCATCCCCACACCCTCAAATGCACCCCCACCAAAAGGCTGTCCCCTCCCTCCGGGCTCCTCTCCAAAGCTCCCCTGGCAATCTAGCTTGCTCTGGAGCTGGCAATGGGGCTATTTGCTGTCACATCAATGCCTCGGCTTTATTTAAAATAAGGGGGTGGCATCAGAGGCAGAGGAGCCCAGACCAACCCAGTCCAGCCAGAGGCCCCCACACAACACACTGAGGCTACCCAGACAGGCCCACCCCGCTGCTCAAGGGCAGGCTCTCTAACAGTCACCCAAACACAAACATCAGCCCAGGTACTACAGTTCTGCTGGGCCCTGTCCTCAGAGGTCCCTGTGCACCATCCCCAGGTGGCCCTCCCCCCAGCTGGGTGCGGGACCCCCGGCTGCCCCCGTGCACGCTGCGCCAGGCTCTCACCTTCTTCCTGGACATCACCTCCCCGCCCAGCCCTCAGCTCTTGCGGCTGCTCAGCACCTTGGCAGAAGAGCCCAGGGAACAGCAGGAGCTGGAGGCCCTCAGTCAGGTTGGGGGCCACCCCAATAAGGCACAGGGGCTAGAGAGACGGGATGAACTGGGGGAGCCCCAGGGGCAGGAAACCTCCATGCAAGGTCCCCCCGGGGCTTTCTTCTGGCTGACATGCACTGGTGCTTTAAGACCCAGCTCCCCAGGGAAGAATTCATGGCTGTATTCTCCAGGTCTTACTGAAAGCGCTATTGGCCTGAACTAAGGAGGGAGAAACCCTAAAGAGGCTCAGCAGGGGAGGGGACAAGAAGGGAGGTCACTAGGAAGGGCTATGGGGCCCCCAACCCACTGCATCCTGCCCTGCCAGGATCCCCGACGCTACGAGGAGTGGAAGTGGTTCCGCTGCCCCACGCTGCTGGAGGTGCTGGAGCAGTTCCCTTCGGTGGCACTGCCTGCCCCACTGCTCCTCACCCAGCTGCCTCTGCTCCAACCCCGGTACTACTCAGTCAGCTCAGCACCCAGCACCCACCCAGGAGAGATCCACCTCACTGTAGCTGTGCTGGCATACAGGACCCAGGGTGAGGCAACGAGCAGGAGCAGGCCTGGCCACAGGGGGGGTGGGACTGGCCCCTCTCTGGCCCTTCACCAGCCTCTGCTTCCCACCCCCAGATGGGCTGGGCCCCCTGCACTATGGAGTCTGCTCCACGTGGCTAAGCCAACTCAAGCCTGGAGACCCTGTGCCCTGCTTCATCCGGGGGTAAGTGAGATGGAGGACTCGGTGGGGAGCTGCCCAGGGTCAGGGTGGCAGCTTTGGTGAGGAGTAAGGAGTGTCACTGGTGAGGGGTGTCACAGGAAACAGGAAGGAGCTCTGTAACATGTCAAGGATGTGGTGTCATTAGGTCACTTCAGAACTCTGGTTAAGCTTTGACTCTCTCATTCATTTAGACTCAGAGTCCTGCCCTGAAACTACAGCTCCCAGAGCCAGAGCTTGGATCAAACCGGCTGGCCCTGTGGCTTTCTGAAAGCTTCTGTATTCCTCTCTATGTCCCTGGGCTGTCTGATGTTGGGCAGCATGGCACCTGGGAACTACAGTCACTAAATCCTCACTCAATCCAGAGAGAACTACTAGTTAGGGTTAAGACCACCCTTGGCCTTAGTGTCACCAAGAACTCAAAGAAGGTGAAGTTTTTTTGTTTTTTTTGTTTTTGAGATAGGAAGTCTCTTTATGTTGCACAGGCTGCTCTTGAACTCCTGGGCTCAAGCAATCCTCCCACCTCAGCCTCCCAAAGTGCTGGGATTACAGACATGAGCCACTGTGCCCAGCCCAGAGTTCTTTTAATAAACCCATCATGCTTCCTACGAGCCAGACACTGCTTTAAGGACTTCATGAATATCAACTTATTTATCAGGAGAGCCTGGTTCCTCCTCGCTCCACCCACCCTGCATGGTGAGAATGGGGGAGCAGGGATGGCAAAGGGGACCTGATGGAGTGTCTCTCCTGCCAGGGCTCCCTCCTTCCGGCTGCCACCTGATCCCAGCTTGCCCTGCATCCTGGTGGGCCCAGGCACTGGCATTGCCCCCTTCCGGGGATTCTGGCAGGAGCGGCTGCATGACATTGAGAGCAAAGGTGAGGCTGGCGACTAAAGGACTGACTGCAAGGAGTCACACAATCTAGGGACAGAGCGGTGGGGCTGGAAGGCAGGAAATAGATAGGAAAGAGAGAGCAGGAAACAGAGGCCACAAAGCTGAAAAGACGCTCCTGAGACCAAGGGGAGGGCAGGTACCGAAGGCAAGGGCTGGGCCCTGTGTGTCTGGCTTCCTGGTGCCTGGCACATAGTAGGTGTTGACTGGATTAAGGACAAAGGAAAATAGAATTTTCGAAGGGATTAGGGCTAAGACTCAAAGAAGAACTGCCCAAGGTGGATTCTTGACTGTGCCAGAGCTGACCAAGTTCTGTCCAAGACCTAAGGATGCTACAAGGTGTTCAGATTGAGCACCGGGTGCCCAGGGTAGTCTGTCAATCAAAAGAAGAGGGCTGTGACTGGGAGGAGAGTTAAAAGTGTGGGAAAATATGAAGTGGGAGCAGGGAAGGGGACTTCGATGTAACACAGTGCAAAGGGCATGGAATTCTGAGTCCCAAGCCTCACATTCTAGCGCAGCTCCACCAGGGGCCACCACCTCACCGGGGCTTCCCTTCCTTCTGTAAATCAGGGCTGTGCAGGGTCTCTGTGAAAGCATTCTGCACCCTCTTGGAGATGAAAGTAATAGCTTCAGCCCAAAACGCTGGGCTGCCAGGCTGGGCGAGGGTGGCTAGTGGGGAGGTCCCACTAGCACTGTGCCTCGGAGAAGGGCCTTCCCAAGCGCGGGGTTTTTTGCAGGGCTGCAGCCCACTCCCATGACTTTGGTGTTTGGCTGCCGATGCTCCCAACTCGACCATCTCTACCGCGACGAGGTGCAGAACGCCCAGCAGCGCGGGGTGTTTGGCCGAGTCCTCACTGCCTTCTCCCGGGAACCTGACAACCCCAAGGTGTGAGACCCTGAGCGCGCAATGGTAACCTGAAGATAGGGAGAGAGGGGAGGACTCACGCTATCCAGCAGAGCGCACCAACCATGGCCCTCCGTGGCCTCCCACGACCACTCAGCCACCCCTGCACACTCTGGCCCACCCTCGTGTCCCGGCCCTTCTAGGCCCGCCTCCCCCCGCCCCGCCCCGCCCCTTTGGCTCTGCCCTTCTTGACACCGCCCCAGGGCATGCAGGCCCAACCTGGCCCGCTCTGTAGACTTTCACGCCCAGGGCCAGCCAGCAGCCCCGGGCTGCGCCCCCGCGCCCACCCCCACCAGGGCCCGCCCTAACCCCGCCTTCCCGCAGACCTACGTGCAGGACATCCTGAGGACGGAGCTGGCTGCGGAGGTGCACCGCGTGCTGTGCCTCGAGCGGGGCCACATGTTTGTCTGCGGCGATGTCACCATGGCAACCAACGTCCTGCAGACAGTGCAGCGCATCCTGGCGACGGAGGGCGACATGGAGCTGGACGAGGCCGGCGACGTCATCGGCTTGCTGCGGGTGCGGAGGGGCGGGCCGGGCCCGAGGCGGGGACTAGGCCCCGGGCTTGCGGGGTTCCTGCTAAGGTATCCGACGGGTTCTGATCCACTGCGCTCTTTTCCGCCAGGATCAGCAACGCTACCACGAAGACATTTTTGGGCTCACGCTGCGCACCCAGGAGGTGACAAGCCGCATACGCACCCAGAGCTTTTCCTTGCAGGAGCGGCAGCTACGGGGCGCAGTGCCCTGGGCGTTCGACCCGCCCGGCTCCGACACCAACACCAACGGCCCCTGAGAGCCCCCTGGCTTTCCCTTCCAGTTCCGGGAGAGCGGCTGCCCCACTCAGGTCCGCCCGACCAGGACCAGCCCCGCTCCTCCCCTCTTGAGATGGTGCCTTCCCACATCTGTCCAGAGGCTGCAAGGATTCAGCATTATTCCACCAGGAAGGAGCAAAACGCCTCTTTCCCTCTGTATGCCTGTTGCCTCTGGCCTGGGTCCGCCTAAATCTGGAAGGCCCCTCCCAGCAGCGGTACCCCAGGGCCTACTGCTACCCGCTTCCTGTTTCTTAGGCGAATGTTAGATTCCCCTTACCTCTCTCAGGAGTATCTTACCTGTAAATTCTAATCTCTAAATCAAGTATTTATTATTGAAGATTTACTGTAAGAGACTGTGCCAGATGTTACAAGAACTACTAAAGTGCCTAACCCAGCCCATGTGGATTACATTTTTTTTTTTTTAAAGGGAGTCTCACTCTGCCACCCAGGCTGGAGTGCAGTGACATGATCTCAGCTCACTGCAACCTCTGCCCCCAAGTTCAAATGATTCTCCTGCCTCAGCCTCCCGAGTAGTTGGGATTACAGGTTCCTGCCGCCGCACCTGGCTAGTTTTTGTACTTTTAGTAGAGACAGGGTTTCACCATCTTGGCCAGGCTTGTCTTGAACTCCTAACCTCGTGATCCACCTGACTCAGCCTCCCAAAGTGCTGGGATTACAGGTGTGAACCACTGCGCCCGGCGTGGATTACAATTATCAAATGACAAGATTTCTGTTTTAACCTGTGCAGTTGTGGGTATGTAGGGGGGAAAGGGGTCATTCTTTTGACAGAGTCCTACATGCCACTTGACCCTGCTCTCTAAAAACATGGTTTCCAGCCAGTCTGGGCTGCTCTCCCGTGCAGTTCTCAGGCTGGTGATCGAGAAGGCAGGTGCAGCACTCAGCTGCCAGGAGTGGGGGCTGCCAGAAACAAGAGTCACAGAGATGTGCAACAGCTGTGAGCAAGCTTTACTGCTTATTTCATACAGGATGGGAAGCCACACCCACTTCCTCAGACATCACACCCATGCTGAAGTCCAAAAACATCAGCCCTCTCGTCTTTCCACTCACAAGTCCCCATCCCCTGCAAGCCCCAGGGAACTGAAAGTGCGCTGGCAGCCGCCAGTGTGACAAATCCACAGCCTTAAAGCCCACCTGCCTCACTGTCACCCTTCCATGTAGCTTGGCCTCATCCTTGACCTCCGTCCCCTACCTTGAGGAAACTCGAGGACTTCTTCCCAGGCAACTGCTCCAGGACACACTGCAGTTGGGGGTGTCTCCCCTTATCCCTTCCGAGTGGGGACCATCTCTAAGACTTGTTTCCAGATGCCATCAGCATCTCCTCTCCTACCTTTTCTCTGTTCTCAGGGCGAGTTCCTCACTGACTCCCAGGTGCTGCCCAACTAAAGCACCTGGGCCTGTCATCTATGGGGCCTCTAGCAATGGCTCCTTGTGTTCTTCCACTCCACCCTCCAATCTCCTGTGGCTGCAGAAGCCAGGGTACCTGTGGGAGGAGATGGCTCTTGGCAAGCAGTGCAGGGGTCTAGGTTCCAGAGATGACCACCCCACATCACCCCAAATTCCCACCATCGCTCCCACTGCTTCAAGTCTGACTCCGAACCAACTACCTATGCAGTTGTTTTTCCCTCCCCTCACAGGGCAATACTGACCCTGAGGAGTCGTCTCAGTCAGTGCAAGAGGCCTCGTCAGGCTCCTTCTGGGTGTCTGTTGTCGCCTGAAACCCTCCAGGGAACAGATTCCGGGCCCTCTGGGTTCCCCACTGTTGTCTGGGGCTGGAGGCAGGACTGGAGCCTGGTGACAAAGGCCATCAACTGGGCATTCCTTGATGCCCAGTGTCCATCAGGCTCTATCCCCTGCAGGCCCCACCCTCCTCACCATCACTTGACCAGGATGGCTTCTCCTCATCAGGCGAGGGTGGCTGTGAGGGGCTGGAGTAGGGCCTGGACAGGACGGAGGCTGCAGCCTCGCCCCACGGCTCCTGCTGCTGCTGCTGGTGAAGCTGCATGGAAAGGAGAAGGAATGAGGGCCGCCCCCAAGGAGGGCAGGGCCAAGCGCCTGGACTAGAAGCAGAGGGCTTTTCAGCCTCCTCCTGCGACTCTGCTAGACCCTTCCGTAGACTCTACCCCACCTCAGTCTCCATGTTGTTCACCAGCCTTCTCCCCACATTTCTCCAGGCACTGCTCTACTCACCTGGTGCAGGTAGATGGCATGGAGACTCATCTCAGCAGAAGCAAGTTCTGGGAGCTGGGCCGGCTTCTGGCCCCCAGTGCCTCCTGGGGACACAGAGCTGGAACACAGCATGAAGCAGGTCAAAAGACATTACCTCCTCCCGCCACACCCCAGAGGGCTCCCCTTCTGAATCCCCCCAACAGTGCCCCAGCTCCCCGCTCCTAGAGGATCAGCCCAGCCCCCACACCGCGGCAACTCAGTCTCCACTCCTTACCTGGGGTCCTGGGCAATTCGGGAAATAGAGGCAAGGAGGCTGGCTGTGGCTGCAGCTGGACAGGGGGCTGTCGGGCTCAGATCCCTCGGAGGCAGGAGAGGGTGCACGAAGAGGTTGGCCAGGAAGGCCTCAGGCTAGGTGCGAGAGGAGAGGGAAAGCCAAAGAGGGAGTCAGAAGAGAGGACAGAAAGGGAGTGGGGAGGAAGGGGAGGCCTGAAGAAGGCAGGAGAGCAGGCTGGGGGCGGGGGCCGGTGAGGCAGGTTACTACCTAAGGTGAGGCTAGAGGGGAAGGGTTTGGAGAGGAGTTGTGGAGGTGAGGGCAGAAGGGGAGGCCAGGCTTTCACTCACCAGGGGCGAGGTGCAATTGCTGAGCACCCCCGGGGTGGGGGGGCTGCGAGCCGAGGTGGCGCCCCAGGCAGCTGCATCTTGTTGTACTCGGCCCCAGAGGTGCCCAAGAAACTTAGAGCTGTGCCCTGGGGGGCGCCAGAGTGGATGCGCCAGGGAGAACCGCATCAAAGAAAGCTCAGTCTTGCCATCCTCCGCACGCTGAAACAGCGAGGCCTCAGTCTGTCCCGCTGAGAGCCACTGTGAGCAAGGACAGTCTTTCAGGTGCTAAGAACACTGAGCCTTATGGGGCCAGGTGGGACAGGAAACACTGCCCCATCTTCCATGTGAAGGAAACAGACCACAATGGGGACTTGTTCACCCTCATCCAACAATACAACAGCGGAGCAGAACCTGGGTCTAGACCCAGCTCGGGGATAGGGCTAGGCCTCAGTGCTTTGCCCAGGGTGATCCTGACAGCCTTGGTCCAGGCACCAGTCCTTACTCAGCCCCACCCATGGGCCAAGCCCATTCCTCGTCCCCGAATGGTCTTTGCTCTCATTTACTGACGTTACTATGTGCCAGCAACTCCATTATGGGCTATACAGACATGATCTGTGTCATCACAAGCCTGGCCTTGGCTGTGCTCTGGAGGACACATTGCCATTGTCGCCATCTGACAGATGAGGGCACGAGGGCACAGGGAAGGGAAGTGACTTGCTCAGCGGCACAGGTAGCAAGCAATGGCGCCAGGGCTGGAACCCAGGTCTGTTCCGAGAGGCAAGCAAACGCCCACTCAGCCCAACCCCCCAGGGCCAAGGAACAGCTCTGACCTGAGGGTGGCCGTGGCGCTTCACATCCATAAGGGCAAAGGAACAGATGTCCCCAACCCCAGCCACATCCACAGTGAAGTGATGAAAAAAGTCGATAATCTCCAGGGCACGAGGGCGGAACCAGAAAAGCAGAAACAGCGGGGTGAGGAGCGGGGACAGGAGCTCCTCCAAGAGGGAGACCTGGGGAAGCAGCGGTGAGGCTGAGCAGGGGTCGCTGAGGGGCCCACGTACGTTATCAGGACCAAGCAGCCCTCAGCGACTCTCGCCAGGGCAAGAAGCCTCCCCACGCAGTCACTCCCTAGACTCCTGGGGTAGCCCGTTTGTCCAATGCCCTCTGCGCAGACAGACCCCACAACTTCCTCCTCAGCCGTCGCGCCCACCCTCACCGCTCGGTACTGCAGCAGCTGCGCCATCTGCCGGTACGCGCGGTCCCTGCCACCGGGGCCAGGCTCCTCTGGGAGGTAGTGCATGTGGGCCAGGGCGGTCTGCAGTAGAAGCTGCGGCGCACGACCCTGGCACTGCTCTTCGGGAATGAAAGACCTGAAAGGCGGGATCCGTGCGGGGAACGGGCTGGCGGTTAGGAGGACGCGCAGTGGGATGCAGGGCTGGAGGGCCCCAGTAGTGGGAGAGGTAAGCGGGGGAACCTCCCATGGCCCCAAATCAGAGAAACCCACGCACACCACCTCCCCGGGCATCTGCCATCGCACCTGGCCACGGTGGCGGTGACCCCGAGCGCGGTCATGGCGGTGAGCACGTGCTCCACGGCCAGCACGTCCTCGTCGTAGACAGTGAGCACAAGCAGCGCGGCGAAGAGTGCGCCCGCGAAGAAAACGATCTGGCGGGCCAGCAGCGCGCGCAGGGGCGCGGGGGGCGCAGCGGTGCGCAGGAAGGCGGCTGCGGGGCGGTAGGCGCGCGCCAGGCGCGCGCGCAGCTCGTGCGGCAGCTCGTTGAAGTGGCGCAGCTGCAAGCGCGCCAGGCGGGACCAGCCGCGCGCCCCAAGCGCGCCGGGCTCGCGCCGCAGCAGCTCCACGTGGCTATAGAAGGCGTGCAGCACCTGCCAGGCCAACACCAGTGGGCTCAACGCCAGGTTCAGGGCGGCCAGCAGCAGCACTGTGCGCCCCCAGCGCGCTGCCAGGGCGCCCCGCTGGTCGCTGCGCTTGTAGGCGTGCGGCAGCTCCCAGCCCCCGCGGAAGAGCGAGAAGGGACCGCGGAAGAGCAGCAGGTCGACATTGAGCGCCAGGCCGCGGCTGAGGAAAGCGGCACTGCCTCCCCAGGGTAGCGGGCAGCGGGCCGGCAGCAGGCCCTTGTTGGCCAGCGCCACCTGGTAGTTGGTGTAGCGCAGGATGCGGTGGTGGACGTCCAGCTCCGTCAGGGGCCGCGGCTGCACGCACAGGCCCCCGCTCTGCTGCAGCACCAAGAGGCGGGACTGCACCTCTGCCCAGGGAATCGAGCTCAGCTCCTCCTGAAACGGGCACTGATGAGAGCCAGCGACCCCCATTCCTCTACACAGTGATGCTCAAGCTCCACACCCCTAAGTGTGTGGCCTGAAAACCCGCAAACTGAGTTTGCGACCACAAACTCGCCAGGGCCAAGCTACATGCCTCATCGTCCCCCTCTCCCACCTTTCCCTTTCTGGCCTCCCTTAACCCTGTCACTAAAAAGGGCACACCCTACTGCCTTCATCCTCTTCTAAACTGCCCTGTTCCTCATCATCCCTGCCATTTCATGTGGCCAGCAGTCATGTCTTCCCTGGTGACGCCTCCAGGTGTTGGACCTAGCTTCTCAGCTCCTTAAAGGGCCTAAGGCCCCCTCAGTTGTACACACAAAACAGAATGGCTGGCCGGGGGCGGTGGCTCACACCTGTAATCCCAGCACTTTAAGAAGTTGAGGCAGGCAGATCGCCTGAGCTTAGGAGCTCGAGACCAGCCTGGGCAACATGGTGAGACAGTGTCTCTACTAATACAAAAAAAAGCAGGGTGTGGTGGTGTGCACCTGTGGTCCCAGCTACTGGGGATCGGAGGCTGCAGTGAGCTGATACCGCAGCACTGCACTCCAGCCTGGGTGACAGACCCAGACCCTGTCTCAAAAGAAACAAAACAAAAAAACGAAAAACCAGAAAGTCCAGCAGTTCATGGGAGAACCTCTCCTTCCCGTTTCCAGTGCACCCACCAACTCTGGAACAGAATCCTCCCCACCTTCTGCCTGGGCATGCTTTATACTCCCAGTCCCACCCAACTCCAGGCCATTTTCAGCTCTGCCACCAGAAGCCTTCCCAGGACCTGGGCTATGTCCATGTCTGGCAGTGGGGCACTGTCAGATCTCATTTGGAGGCTGCAAACCTCACTTCAGCCCAGTTTCACTCAGCTTTCCCAGTCCAGGTTAGTCAAGTCCCCCAGGCTGGCCTCTCCAGTCCATCCCAGTGTCTTCCCTTCCCTTCCCTTCCCCTGGAAGGAACAGGGGAGGAGGGGAAAGAAGGGAAGAGGAGAACGAGACGGGTGAGCAGTCTCCTGCCAGAGCCAATCTGAGGTCCAGCTTCCGCTCTCACCACCTCTACTTCCCTGGCCTCCTCCCTCCCTCCGGCTCAGGGGCTTTCTAAGACCTCTCCCCTTGCTGCACATAAAGGCTGTGCAGAGGGCTCCGGACCTCCCAGGGGAGCAAGGGAAGCAAGCTGCAGAAGGCTACCTTCGAGCTGTGCCTCAAAGAAAGAACTTAGATACAGAGGAGGGAGGAGCAGACTCAAGATAGCGAGGAAACAAAGGGCAGAGCATAAGCAGAGGACAGTGACAGGCCAATGCAGTCGTTTCCTGCAATGGTGGGGGGACGGCTTTGAAGGCTCTGTTTTAGGCTGGTGGGGTCCATCTCCCTGCTGCAGCTTCCAAAAGCTCATGGCTTTTCCCCACCTTCCTGCACTGGGGCTTGGAATGTGCTCCCCTCCCCTCCTGTCCTGCCCTTCCAAGCCCAACCCAAATGTCTCCAGCTCTGAAAAGTCAGATGACCGTCCTTTCTCTAAGCAATGTTTTTAGCACAAACATGTAACTGTGTGTCATCTTATATGAGCCATCTAAATAAACTAAACTCCCTTAGGGTAAGGGCCATGCTCTCTAAGTGGTGATAGCCCCCTCCTGACATTATTCTGGGCTTACAGCAGGTGTCAATAAGGCGTCATTCTTTCTGCCCTCTTTCCAGTTGGCCCTTCTATCTGTACAGTCCCACTTCTTTCCCTCTCCTCTGTTCACCCTCTCATGGCACCCTCCGCACAGACACAGCCACCCAGCTCACCGGGGGGATGTGCAGGGCCTCCCTGTAAAACACCTGGATGTCCCAGTAGCTGAAGAGGTTGCAGACTGAGCGAAGCAGTTGGACCAGCCAGAAGCCCGCAGCCAGGACCAGGAGGAGGACGAGCAGCGGGCTGGAGCGGATCCTGTATGGGGTTGGGTGGGCAGTGAGGGAGAAAGGTGGGCACCTGAGAAACAGGCAGACCAGACTTCGGGAGTGAGGAAAAACTGTCACGAGGAGGGGGATCCAGCTAGACCAGCAGCTCTCAAAGTAGGGCCTGGGGCAGGGGCGGGGAGCTGAAGTGGCCCTCACAAGTGTGCAAAGTCAAACTTCTTCCAAATAATACTACTGCTTTCTGATGTTTTCATTCTTGTTCTCTGAGTATGCAGTGGAGTTTTCCAGAGGCTACAAGACACGTGAACATGTCACATCACACTGACAACTGATGAAATGTGTGCTCGTGCACTTTTTTTTTTTTTTTTTTTTTTTTTTTTTTTGAGATGGAGTCTTGCTCTGTCGCCCAGGCTGGAGTGCAGTGGCACAATCTCAGCTCACTGCAACCTCCGCCTCCCGGATTCAAGTGATTCTCCTGTCTCAGCCTCCAGGGTAGCTGGGACTACAGATGACTGCCACCATGCCTGGCTAATCTTTGCATATTTTAGTAGAGACAGGGTTTCACCATGTTGGCCAGGATGGTCTCGATCTCCTGACCTTGTGATCTGCCCACCTCGGCCACCCAAAGTGCTGGGATTACAGACATGAGCCACCACGCCTGGCCGCACTCTTACATTTTAAAGTTGTTCTCAGCTATGATTTCCTTCTTTTTCTCCTTTTTATTGAAACAAGGTCTCTCTCTGTTACCCAGGCTGTAGTGCAGCAGTAGAATCATAGCTCCTATCTCCCTGCCAAATAACGGCCCAGGTCTGGTACAGTTATTTGGTTGGTTGGCAAAGAGAACATTGCAATCCACGCATTCAAGGAGGAAGGTTGGGAAGGCAACAATGAAAATGAATCGTCTGCTGGGGGGAGGAGGGTGTAAGGATGCTGCAGTGATCAGTCACTGTCTTAGCCTCCTGACTAGGCTTAGCTCGGACTGCAGGTACGCGCCACCAAGCCCAGCTAATTTTTATTTTTTATAGAGATGGTGTCTCACTTTGTTGCTCAGGCTGGTCTCAAACTCCTGGCTTCAAGCAATCCTCCTGCCTCAGCCTCCCAAAGTGCTGGGATTACAGGTGTAAACCACTGTGCCTGGCCTAATTTTAATTTTTTATAAGGTAAATTGTAGATAGATATGACTCCCATAAATAAAAGCTCTTTAGGGTTCTCAACCAATTTTAACTGTATTAAGATACACTTAATACACTTTAATTAAGATACACTTAACAGGCCGGGCACAGTGGCTCACACCTGTAATCCCAGCACTTCGGGAGGCCAAAGTGGGTGGATCACCTGAAGCCAGGAGTTCCAGACCAGCCTGGCCAACATGGTGAAATCCTGTCTCTACTTTAGAAAATACACGTGGTAGTGCACACCTGTTATCCCAGCTACTGGGGAGGCTGAGGCAGGAGAATCGCTTGAACCCAGGAGATGGTGGTTGCAGTGAGCCTGGACCTCACTATTGTACTCCAGCCTGAGCAACAAGAGTGAAACTCTGTCTAAAAAAAAAAAAAAAAAAAAAAAAGATACACATAATATACTTTAAGTACAACTTAATACAACTTAAGTACAACTTAATACACTTAAGTACAACTTAAAGTGTATTAAGTGTATTTTTGGTCCTAAGACCAAAAGCTTTGAGAACTGCTGATCTAGATCACGGGACAAAGTGGGGCTCCTGTCTACTCTACCCACTTCCCATGCTTCACCCCAGGGTCCCACCAGGTTTTCACTCACCTCTCAGCACACTGGGCTGAGGGTAGGATGGCATCTGACAAGGTCACTTTGCTGTGGAACGGCCCGGGTCTCGTACGGTTACTTGGTGGGTTGGCAAAGAGAACATTGTAATCCACACATTGAAGGAGGAAGGTTGTGAAGGTGACAATGAAAATGAATTGTCTGCCAGGAGGAAGGGGGATGCCAGGATGCTGCAGTGATCAGGGACAGCCAGGTGGGCTCCTGCCCCGGCCCCCAGAGCAGCCCATGGTTATCTTCCCCCACCCTGCCCCTCCTGAGCCCCTGGGCTGCTTGGGAAAGTGTGGGATGGAAGCAACTGGTACAATCAAGGAAGCAAAATGACAGGAGGAACCCATGGGCCCAGGGGACCAAGTTCAGGGCCCAGGCTAAGCGTCTTACCCCAACTGGAAGACATCCTCCAGCAGGATGCAGGCAAAGCCATTCCGCTGGTGGTAGCTGTAGATGTGGACGCATGTCAAGGAATAAGCCTGAGGCACGGGGGGGCCTCTCCTGAGGATGCCTCCCCTCAGCCCCAACACATCTCCCACCCACGACACCCTCACGGAGTCTCCCTGCCAAGAACAGTGCCAGCTCCAAGGGGACCTTCCCATGCCGCCTCTGCAGGCCTAGCGCAAAGGATATCTTGGTGAAGAAGCTGTCCAGGTTCTGGATGTGATGCCAGGAGCCTGGAAACAGAGAGGAGAGTGTTGGCCCCTGGTATGTGATCAATTCTCCATGTTCTCAACCCACTACCAGAGGCCCAGCCTGCGGTAAGTACTGGAGCTCCCAGGCACCACTAACCTGCTCCCACCCCCACCCACACCCACACACATACCGCAGAGCCCTTCAGGGACATGAAGCAGGGGTTGTTGCTCCTCCCCGTGGATGGGTGAGTCTTGGGACCCCTCAGGGTCACAGTCCTCCAGCCGCTCATAATCCTGTTCAGGGATCAAAGGGCCTACCCGCAGCCCAGGAGAGTCCTGGGGGCACTGGTGTGAGGGAGGGGGAGTTGCCGAGGCCAGAGGTGGGGTAGAGTGGGATCCCCAGGAGGGAGATGCAGAGGCAGGTGTCATTGCAGGTTGAGCCTGTGTTGGGGGGGTGGCTGGGGTGGGGAGAGCACTGTGGCAAGGCTGAGCCCCTGTCCCCTGTAGCACTGAGCAAGGGGGCCTTGGGGTGGGAGGGGAAAATGAGGAGGGGGAGCTTCTTGTATGAGGGGCAGGGGACAGAGAGAAGATGGAGATCCTCCCTCCCCCAGATCCCCAGCATGAAGGAGGAGGAGGAGGTGGCAGTGGCATGGGGAGCAGGGGCACTGATCCAGGCCCCAGGTCTCCCCACCGCCCCAGTCGCCCTCTTCTCCCCCTCCAGCCCATTTGGCTCACCATCAGGCCACGGCTTCTCCAGAAAGGTTGGAAGGATGGGAGCTGTTGCTGCTTCCACAAAGGTCTGTGACGCTGAGCTGGGACTTCAACAGGAACAATGACAACAACAATACTAGGTGACTCAGCCTAGGCAGGCCTCAGGCGTCCCAGCTCTCAGTCACCTGTCTCATCACTCACACCCCTTCCAGGGCAACCTGAGGCCAAATCCCTCAAGGCCTGAGAGGGGCATCAGTTTAAGAGTAAGAGGCTAAAGAGCACATTGAGATGAGAAGATTCCTATTATCTCCATCTTCCGATCTTGAATGAATGAAAGATAAAAACAACAGCAGCCAAAATGACAAAAGCAAAAAGCAAAGTCGTGTTAGAGCCAGGTGTGGTGGTATGTGCTTGTGTTCCCAGCTACTCAGGAGACTGAGGTGGGAGGATGGCTTGGTGCAGGTTACACTGGAACAGTATGGGTTACAGTGAGCTAGATCTAGCCACTGCACTCCCACCTGGGAAAGAGCCTGCCCCCCCACTCCCCCCCAAAAATATCCTATTAAAAGATTGTAGCTGGGTGCAGTGCCTCACACTTGTAATCTATCTCAGTACTTTGGGAAGCTGAGGAAAGAGGATTGCTTGAGGCCAGGAGTTCGAGACCAGCCTGGGAAACAGAATGAGAAGACTCCATCTCTACAACAAATCTTAGGGCCAAGATGTTAACTATTTTGTTTCTTAAGAGTGTACCTCCCCCACTTCCCTCCACACACACACTACAGTGATCAGCAGGGAAATGTTTTGTGACCAAAATAGAAAAGAAGAAGTAAAGGGGCCAGGCATGTTGGCTTACACCTGTAATCCTAGCACTTTGGGAGGCCTAGGCGAGAGGATCACTTGAGGCCAGGAGTTTGAGACCAGCCTGAGCAACTTAGGGAGCCACCATCTGTACAAAAACTAAAAAACAAAATAATTTTTTCCTTTTTGAGACAGAGTCTCACTCTGTCACCCAGACTGGAGTACAGTGGCACAATCTCGGCTCACTGCAACCTCCGCCTCCCAGGTTCAAGTGATTCTTCTGCCTCAGCCTCCTGAGTAGCTGGGACTACAGGTGTGCGCCACCACGCACAGCTGATTTTTTGTATTTTTAGTAGAGATGGGGTTTCACCATTTTGGCCAGGCTGTCTTGAACTCCTGACCTCGTGATCCACCCACGTTGGCCTCCCAAAGTTCTGGTATTACAGGCATGAGCCACTGTGCCTGGTCAAAAATATTTTTTTTTTAAAGAATAAGAAAAGGCTGCATGTTTTATTGGTCTGAGGGGCTAAGGAAGGGAAGAGGGGAGCCTGACTTTGCAGTCAAGTTGGGGAAAACTAAGAAGAGGAGGTGAAGAAAGGAAAGGCAGTTGTCTTGGATTTGAGAGTTGGTTTGGAGAGCTTAGAGTAGAAAACTGGGGTTCTCTGAAAGTTCCATTCCGTTTCCATCCTTTTAATTTTGAACTGTGACATTATCTCAAGTCTGGATCCAACTTCTGTGACCCCCTGAAAAGCATCAGGGCTGAATCAGAAGGGAGGACAGCTGTTGAGTCTGGGACTTGGAAGGATAATTTGGGTACCAGGGAGGAGCTGAACTGAGTTCCTTGTTGTCACCTTAACAAGGAGGAGGAGACCCAGGCAGCTGGTCTGGTGGCTTGCCCAACGCCATTCTTGAGGCCCTGAATCATCAGGTTTCCTTCTAAAGCCCATTACTGAGATGCTGACTCAGCCACCAGGTGTCAAGATCTCTAGGGCTTAGGCCCAAGGGCTGATGTTGGGACCAGTATCCCTGAAATGGAGAGACAGACACCGTGCTTCTCAGATTGTTCACTGGAGGCAATCATGGACTCACCCACAAAACTTGAGTCCAGATGTGCCTGCTTTTCTCCTTCTGTGTGGGGTATTGTGGTAGTAGCTCAGGTCTCGCATGCCTTTATACCTGAGCACGAGGCAGAGCTATGAAAACAAGACCCTGTCCTTCTAGAGGTAGCAAAATGGAATCCCATATTGCAGAGGGGCCAGGAACTTCCCATAATCTTTCTGAGACATCTGTCAAGGTGGGTTATGTGGGGTGTTGCCTAGTCTCTCCCCCACCTCACTCACCCAGTGTCACTCAGTATAATGGCTATTCCACCATAGTCACAATAGGACCCCTCCCTATACACCTGGAGCTCCCCAGCTCAACCCCAAACTAATCCTGGGAGACTGTCCTACCTAGTTTCACCCTGAATTCATTCTCATTGACAGCCCCCTACCACCACCCCCAATTCAAGTCGATTTATTATAAAGGGCACTTTTCCTGGCCAAGCATTTGGAAGGGAAGAGGACAGATAAATAAAACAGAGCCAGTACCCAACAAGAAGCTGCAGCCCAGTGGGGAGACAGATACGCAAACAAATAATTACAGAGAAGAAATGAGTGGTGCAAACTCTGGTAAGAGCCTGAGGCAAGTCATTCTGACCTGGGTGAGGAAGGCATCTGCGAGGCAGAGAGATCTGAGGCCGCGCCTTGATAAATTACAAGACCTCCATACCAGTAGTTCTCAATAGCTGAGGCGTAGGGCAAGAGTGTCAGAATCACCGGGGACGTGACAGATGTCCCAGCAGTTCTGACGCGCCTAGGAGAGCGGGGTGGGTGGCAGGGTATATGTGCGTGTTTTGAAAAAACTCCCAGTCGATTTTTGTTCATTCCTCCCCCAAAGCCCGTTCTACACGCCCTGGAGATGACGGGACATCTAGAGATCCTGGAGCCTTGGGAAAATGGCCCGAGGTCGGCGGCTGACGCGTTACCATGGATACTCCGTAGCGTGGAGGGCCGGACGGCGCACACCCTTTAGACGGCACTCGGAGCCCACTGGCGCACCGAGCAAAAGGCAGGCCCACTTCCTACTCGGCTCCGCCCAGAGCAGGGGATCGGGCGGGTAGGCGAATCTCTCCAATCACAGTTCCGAAAGGAGGGGGTTGACAACGTACCCTCCAGTCACAGCTTGAAACGAGATTGATGTGTCTTTTCACCAATCACCGCCAAGGCGCGAGGGGATTGTCGGGATGGGGGCGGCAGTCAACATGGAACCCTCAATGGGATAAGGGTGAAAGTGCTACTGCCGGCTGCTCCTGTTTTCGCGCCCCAGCATGCTGGTGCATTTATTTCGGGTCGGGATTCGGGGTGGCCCATTCCCAGGCAGGCCGCTAGTGCCCCTCCGCTTCCAGACATTCTCAGCTGTCAGGTAAAAAGGGAAAAACCTACTCAGCGCGGGCCATTGACCGGCCGGCAGGGCAGTGCCGGGCCCGCCGGGAGATGGAGTCCGCGGGCTCGCGCGAGGCTTGCTGGGAGCTGTAGGCCAGACCTGCCGGGGTGGAATGTCGCTCCGCGGGTATTGGTCTCGGTTATTTATAGTGACACTCCAGGCGCCCCCAGGAGGTTCCGGCGTCTGCATCGGCGTGTCAGCCAGAAGGAGGGAACGCTCCGGGTCTGTGACCACGCCCAGTCCGCACTCTCGGCCAGGGGTCGCCTTTCCTGGACCCCGAGTTGATTGGGCGATTTGGACGAAAATTCTTATTAGTATCAAGAGACATTTAATGTAGTGGTGCTCCCAGGATTCAAAGTGAGTCGAAGAAGAGCTGGAGATGTTCAGCAGGGATAAAGAGCCAATCTAATAGGCCGGGCACGGTGGCTCACGCCTGTAATCCCAGCACTTTGGGAGGCCAGGAGTTTGAGATCAGCCTGGCCAACATGGCAAAACCCCGTCTCTACCAAAAAATACAAATATTTGCCGTGATTAGTGGCACGCGCCTGTAATTCCAGCTACTTGGAAGGCTGAGGCAGGAGAATCGCTTCACCTGGGAGGCGGAGGTTTCAGTGAGTCGAAGTCACGACCACTGCACTCCACCGTGGGTGATAGATAGTGAGACTCTGTCTCAAAAAAAAAAAAAAAAAAAAAAAAGAGTCAGTCTAATAACTTGTACATGTGTGTTTTTGGCGAAACACTCTACACAGGTTGGTCGAGAGAGAGACAGACAGACAGGTGGGAAACAAACAAGGACCCTAAAACTACAACTGGAATGTAAATGCTTTATGAGAAGGGACTGATTCCTTTTTTTTTCTTTTTTTTTTTTTTGAGACAGAGTCTCACTCTGTCACCCAAGCTGGACTGCAGTGGCGTGATCTCAGCTAACTGCAACCTCTACCTCCTGGGTTTGAGCAATTCTCATGCCTCAGCCACCCAAGTAGCTGGACCTACAGACGTGCACCACACCCGGCTAATTTTTGTATTTTTAGTAGAGACGGAGTTTCGTCATGTTGGTGGCCAGGCTGGTCTTGAACTCCTGACCTCAGGTGATCTGCCTGCCTCGGCCTCCCAAAGTGCTGGGATTACAGGCGTGAGCCACCTGGCTGTCCTTTCTAATCCTACAACGAATTACTTGGAGGACAAACAGATAGAAGATTCCCAAGGGCAGGTGGATATGGAGTTGTCTCATTTGGAAAGCCCATCTGACTGATGGAGGACAAGAGCTGGATCGAGCTGGAGCTGGAAGTCTTGGTGCTGGGAAGTAATCCATATGCTCTTAGCAATGACCAAGCCTTTCTTAGAGTGTTAGTTTGGAGACAATGCAAGAAGCTGGAAAAAGACCATGCTAAATTATTGAAAGGTTTAAAAACAGTCCTTAGGAAAGAGGAAAGGTGTTGATATTATTTAAACCAGAGAAAAACCCAAGGAAAGACATCAAATAATATTCAAGTATATATATGTTCATTAGTCAGTATTTTTCAATAGATTAGGAAATGAATTCAGTTGGTCAGGACCATTTAAAAGTAAATATAAGCTGGGAGCAGTGGCTCGCGCCTATAATCCCAGCACTTTGGGAGGCCAAGGCAGGCGGATCACCTGAGGTCAGGAGTTCAAGACCAGCCTGGCCAACGTGGTGAAACCCCATCTCTATTAAAAATATGAAAATTTGCCAGGTGTGGTTGCACGCGCCTGTAGTCCCAGCTATTCGGGAGGCTGAGGCAAGAGAATTGCTCAAACCCAGGAGGCAGAGGTTGCAGTGAGCCGAGATTGCGCCATTGCACTCCAGCATGACAGAGCAAGACTCCGTCTCAAATAAATAAATAAATAAACAAATGTAAATGTAGGCCAGGCACAGTGGTTCACACCTCTAATCCCAGCACTTTGGGGGCCAAGGCAGGCAGATCACTGGAGGTCAGGAGTTCAAGACCAGCCTGGCCAACATAGTGAAGCCCCATCTCTATTAAAAATACAAAAATTAGCCAGGTGTGGTGGCTCACACCTGTAATCCCAGCACTTTGAGGAGCCGGGACAGGCAGATCACTTGAGGTCAGGAGTTTGAGACCAGCCTAGCCAACATGGTGAAGTCCTGTCTGTTCTAAAAATACAAAAATTAACCAGGCATGGTTGTGGGCGCCTGTAGTCCCAGCTACTTGGGAGGCTAAGGCAGGAGAATCGCTTGAATCTGGGAGGTGGAGGTTGCAGTCAGCCAAGATAGCGCCACTACTCTCCAGCCTGGGCAACAGAGTGAGACCCTGTCTTAGATAAAGGAAAGGAAAGGAAGGGAAGGGAAGGAAAGGGTGGGGAAGGGAGGGGAAGGGAGAGGAGGGGAGGGGGAAGGGAGGGGAGGCAAGGGGCGTGTTAAGAATTAGAGAAAATATTATTTTGTGAAGCATTTCCATTTTGTGTGGTATGTATGTGTTCATTGTACTGGGTTGCAATGTAAGATATGTTTCTTGCTGTAGGCCACAGTAAGTGTAAACATTTGCAAAACCCTGTAGTAGTTAGGTCAGATTGTCCTGCGCCTCTAATGAGGGCATGCATGTGCTCAACA